AATACCAATCACATACATTGATAAATATTTCATAAACCCCATATCTTGTTCACCAAAAACCTTACTTTAACAAGTTAAAATAAAAGGAATCCTGCAGGGTCTTATATAAGTTACCAAACAAGCAAAATTTTGATTCTGAGACTGGAGTACAGGGGTCATTATTGACAAAAATACTTAGTTCAAAAGTACGCATCAACTCTAGAATAGATATACTGCTTTTATTTCAGGAATGACTGTTTGCAAAGGACCCAAGTGTAAATGTCCAATGCATTTGTGAGTTACGTGGAAGTATGTGAAAACTGAAGTTAGGAACATAAATAAGGTCCCCAACATAAAAGAAAAGTTATATTTAAACCTTGCAGAATATCTGTTAATTATGGTACATTTAAAGAAGAAATGCTAGAAAAGGTAAGATAAGAAAAGTAGGAGAACCGAATAGTCTACAAGTCAAGAAGGATATTAATGACACCATAGTGTATTCATAGATATTCAATGCTGTAATTGGATCTGGTTGCGAGGATTCATTAGTAATGTACCAAGTCCCACTTACTCACCATTCTGGGTTTTGTCCCAGACACTCTATTGAAACTCTTTTCTTGAAAACCACCAAATTACTCCCTAGATTCTAAATTCAATGATCATTCTCCGGTCTCTCCTTAAAGATATAACCACGCCCTCTTTCTTGAAACTCCTGTTTTGGCTTGTTTTCTTGACAGAAAAGACTGCCTTCTACTTCTATCTTCTCATTTTCCTTTCAAATTTTGGCTCTGACTCCATAATTATAGGTATTTCACAAGTGTCTGAACTTGGCTATCTTCTCTCTTTGTCCTTTAGACTTTATAATACTTACCTAATTTCAGAGAATACCTCAATGCCATATAACCTGGAGCACTGCCTCCTACACATGCCTGCTGAGTAGAGAAAAGGAAGAAGAAAGTAGCATGGGGTGGGGGTGGGGAGTCAGGTGGTGGGAGATTCAGTGGGTGATGGGGAAGTTTGAGAGGTGGAGCATCCAGTCAATGGGGAAGCCCAAGATATGAAGATGGAATAGGAAGCTGAAGTGGACCTGAGGTCAGAGTCATTTAAGAAAGAGGAAGAACTATGCATCCAGAACAACAGGCATATCCTCAGCTTGTATGCTGCTGTCACTGAGATTTAGAGGAGAAAAGATGTGAGTGGGATGCTTGAAGCATATAGGAAGGCAAGTAGATGCTAAAATAAGGAAGACAACTGTAGTAAAAGGTGACAACTGAGTTTATCCTTTTATTAAAGACTAGAGGCCTGGTGCACGAAATTCATGTATGGAGTGGGGGGGAGGAGCGGGGGAGGGTCGGTCCCTCCGCCTGGCCTGCACCTTCTCACAATCCAGGACCCCTCGGGGGATGTCCGACTGCCAGTTTAGGCCCGATCCCTAATTTGTTATTATATATTAATTTAATTAATAATACCTTTTTCTCCACAGAGGATTTGTTTGGATAAAAGTCTTACTAAAGATAGTTGGAAAAATTCCACACTATCATATTTCTAAATACATCTCCCTAAAACACTACAATTGATTGAAATGTAATTGGTATTGTGGGAGAAAAAAATTCCACAGTCAAATAATTTTGGAAAACACTGGGTTAAACAAAATGAAATTGCCCTGACTGGTTTGGCTCAGTGGATAGAGAGTCAGCCTGCAGACTCAAGGGTCCCAGGTTCAATTCCAGTCAAGAGCATGTACCTTGGTTGTGGGCACATCCCCAGCAGGGGGTGTGCAAGAGGTAGCTGATTGATGTTTCTCTCTCATTGATGTTTCTAACTCTCTATCCCTCTCCCTTCCTCTCTGTAAAAAATAATAAAATATATTTTTTTAAAAAGTGAAATAGGTTTAGAATTTTCTGCTGTAAGACTTAATAATCTACACTCATAAAAGAGAAAAATGGTAATTGGCGTACGATGCTACCCTTTTCATTGGCTAATAAGGGCTATATGCAAATTAACTGCCACCTAAGATTGGCAGTTAACTGCCAACAAGATGGCGGTTAATTTGCATATGTAGG